CTCCTGGGTTCAGGCAATTCTCCTGCCTCAGCCTCCTGAGTAGCTGGGATTACAGGCACGCACCACCATGCCCAGCTAATTTTTTGTATTTTTAGTAGAGACGGGGTTTCACTGTGTTGACCAGAATGGTTTCGATCTCTTGACCTCGTGATCCACCCGCCTCGGCCTCCCAAAGTGCTGGGATTACAGGCTTGAGCCACCGTGCCCGGCCAAGACCAGCCTGTTTCTAATAAAAATACAAAATTAGCTGGGTTTGGTGGTGTGTGCCTGTAACTCCAGCTGTTTGGGAGGCTGAGGCAGGAGAATTGCTTGAACCTGGGAGGCGGAGGTTGCAGTAAGCTGAGATCACGCCATTGCACTCCAGCCTGGGCAATAAGAGCGAAACTCCATCTCAAAAAAAGTTTGAAAAACCTTGAGCCATGCAGTGTCTCGAAAGCAGCTTCCCACCCAGTATCTAGAGGTTGGGCTTGTTATTTATTTATTTTTATTTTTTTGGGGGGAGTATTAACATTTCCTTAAATTTCTTCAGTTTCAGATTTGGTTCCTCCTGTGTTTGTCTTGTCGCATATTGTGTTATGCCTCCGACTCTGGAACTTTTTTGGATGTTGAGAAACTTTGGCATGAGAACTTAAGGGAATTTGAGGCAGAGAAATTGAATGGGGTTTCTCAAATGTGGTCCACTTTTGTTTCACTTATGCCCTCTTGTTCACGCTTTCTTTTTTATCACTGTACTGTAAAGCATTATAAAAGCCTGAGTATACACAGACATATTGACAGTAAACAACTGACACTGAAATGGACTGGCTTGAGATAATTTCATGTGTAGAAAATAAGCAAAAACAAGGTAAGAAACATTGCAAAAGAGAAAAATGAAAAGATATTTCCTTTTTAGAGAGTAACAGTATTAAGCATTTCTTGTCCCTACACTAAATATAAAACATGTAATACACAGATATGTTTAAAGGAACTAGATATACAATTTCTAGATTTTTGTAGAGAAAAGAAATAGTGATAATACGTGACAGCAAAATGCACCTGGGATAGAGGCTTAACTACAAAGTATATCATTTCTTAAGCTGAGCTTTTGTTTTGATGGTTTTCTCCCTTGAGAATAAACTGGATGTGGTACATGTTTTAAAGTTGTTTGAGGAACCTAAATGTAATTTACAGTGTGTTTTTAAAAAGAATATATATGTTTTATCTGCACTTGGTTTGATTTGTCTTCTATAGAAAGCTAGATGGTTTATATTTAGGAGTTGATTTAGATATGTTTTAGTGGCTGTAAGAACAGAGAAAGCAGTATTGAAAACTGAAAGAGATCCTTGCAGCTTTCTTTAAAATCTTTAATCCAGGGGATTATGTAACCCTTTCATTAATGTTTTATGAAATTGTGAAGAAACTGTTGTTATAGCTTTGCATCAGGATTTTTTTGATTATTTTTTTCTCTCTCAAAAATCATTTTTATTTTTATTTCAGATTATATTTCCTTAAAATTTTTATTTTCATTTGGAAGACTGCAAGGCATACAACCATTGCATGTCTGAGTTCCAAAGCAGATGCAGTCTTTTCACAAAACAAATTTACTAATTTTTTTCTGTGACAAAAGTTCTGAGAAGGAAAGCTTTGATTTCTTGCATTGAGTTCAGTGGATTATTCCTACCACTAAAGTTTTTAAGTCATGGTACATCTATGTAGATCGTTCAGTTCTGCACCAAATGATGGAAGAATGTAAAATCCTTCTTTGAGTGTGTGACAAATAGAAAAGTTCATTCTTCATAATTGAGAACACTGAGCAGTTTGATTACCTGGTTTTAGTAAGTGGACTTACCGTTCATCTGATTATACTTAGCTAGGAATAGCTTTGATTGCCCAAATCATTTTACAGTGGGATTTGGTTATCTACAGTTGAATAAATGGTGGTTTTTAAATCCCAAAGAAACTATGTGCTCCTATGCTTTTTAGTGAGACTCAGTTTCACATATCAAAGTTTTATTTAGGTAAGTGATTTGAAAAAATGGAAGTTCAATTAACACTAGTTAATTAAGTTTATTTTCTAATTCAGAGAAGCCTTGTTTTGTTTTATACTAGTCTCTGATCTGCTTTTCTGCTTCCTGCTCTCCAACTTGTCGTACAATAAATTCTAATGGAAATGTGGGTAACAGAAAATCTAGTTCTGTGAAAGTATAAAATCTTTATATCTAGTTTTTAGTTTGCTTTAAAAATTTCTAAACTAATCACCTTTTTAAAAAAAGTATATAATGGAGTACTTGAAAAGTTACATTTTATTTTGGACTTGCCAAAACACATTTATTGTGCTTAACAGGTTTTGATTACTGGAGAGTAGATCTTGAATTCTGCTGATTTCTGAACTCTAATTTTTTCCCCTTTTATTTGTTTTGAGACGGAGTCTCACTCTGTCGCCCAAGCTGGAGTCCAGTGGCATGATCTCAGCTCAGTGCAACCTCTGCCTCCTGGGTTCAAGCAATTCTCCTGTCTCAGTCTCCTGAGTAGCTGGGACAACAGGTGTGTGCCACCACTCCTGG